CAAAGGATATACATAGATTGAGATAAAATCTTCGCAAACGTTTTATTTGACCGCCTTTTCTAACTTTCAACATCCCGCTGACCTAGGTTGGGTATTATTTTACAGAAAGTTTAAAAAGTATGTACTTAAAGCGACAGCTATGGAAGTAAATTTAGTGCTCATATGAAACGTGCTGCAGAAACTCTCAAAGGATTTCACAAGGCGTCCTATTTAAACTTTAAAATGCTGAATTAAAAATAGTTATGGAGTTTTATACATCAAAGTTATATGCAAAAGACTCATCTTAATAAATTCTAGTACTCTGTTGCAATATTTCGTTAGTGTTCAAACAATAACTGGACAAAATAAAAAGGTTGAATTTAAAGACATCACTAGGACATTAACACGTTTACTGCGACAAGTAAAATCATAATTCTTCATCTGGTGCGGCGGCGGGCCAAAATGCGCCCCCTATGATATTTCCGCCAATGCGTAGCAGGTCCTTCTAGACCCACCAACACTAGGATAGATAAAATTGTTATAACTTTGTGGAAACATAATTTATAAATTTTATGTAATGCTGAAATAATCGTTTCGGACTAACAAGAGGGACATAGTTTTCTTCGTCCGCACCAGCTTAAGTAGCGCGTCAGGCCGATATCGGCCTGTTACGCAGTGAGCGTGTTAATAAACATCCAAATAGATAAAGCATAAAAAATCCGGTCCCTTTTAATATTTTGGGTACAATAAATAAACAGGCAAACGTAAATAAAATCAATAATTTACATTTTATAGTATTCAAAACTGTAACTAAGAAATGTTTCCACAAGATACATCGCGAGTCTAGTAGATAACTTTGTTGGAACTTCCGAGACAATTTTCTCCGCTTGCTCCCTCAACAATAGAATTACTACTTCGATAGGTTATAGGTTAAAGTTATTTAATGGAAGATTGTATTAGGAAACAGAGTCAAGGAAAATTTAAATTCATAATAGGGCGCGAAATGCTTATTTGCACGAGTATAAACATAAACTGATATTTTTTTGTCTTATCGCAAATTAACAAACATTGTATTCAAAGATTAATTGGTATGAAAGCTTAGATAGATAGTATTTATCAGAAAAAGAGCAATAATAACGTAATCATTTCACGCTTTTATAGAATGCAATATATCATCGTGTACAATAGTATCATTTCACGGAGAAAACAAGCAATATTTTCCATTCGAATCCACGTCTGCCATGTTGACAAGGGTTGACATTCTCTTTACAACGAGAACACTGGAAGAATCCGATTTAAGTCAATGCTAAGAATTCTCGAATAGAATTTAACTTACGTTAAATTCTTGGTCATTATTACTCTTTCATTTGAATTTTTTTTTGTAATTTTTGAATTTGATATTGTAGTCATCAAAAACATCACTACAAATGTTTTTTTTTCCTTTAATTTGGCCCTTGTATCATTGTAGAATACATAAAGTGGATTTTATTGGCTAGCGGAATGCTTGACTCGAGTCAAATATTAAATTTAATTGTAAGATTTCTTATAATAAATATGCAAAAATTATAAGCACTTGCTTCCACAATTCGACATCAAATTTTATAATACCACCTTTAAACGGACATCGACAAAAAGCATTTTTAACCACAAAGTGATTCAAGATCCAACATCTCGAGTAATCGATTCCTAGCAAAAGCACGGACACGACTTTTGTGGAATGAATGGACCATCTCCGGTGCATTCGACGGACCGGACGTACCAGATCGTACAAGATCCAAAGCTTTCTAAATCGTAATAAATCTAACATATCTATCGAACACGGATCTAGACATTTCTTTACATTGTTGGAGTGAAAATCCACCGGTTTTGTTATAAATCACACATTATCGTGTTGCAGTCCTAGTGTTTATCCCATGTGATCAGATGTTTTTACCAAGTGTTCCTATGGCACTTCCAGACAACTTAAAACGGTTTAACTGGTTTAAAACATTAGGCGTTATTAGATTCATATGTTTCCTCGGTATGCTATAGCATCCGGTTTAATAGTTTTTAAATTACCTTAATACTATTTGACCGACTTCCCAAAAGACGGAGGTACTCAATTCGTCTGTACATTTTTTTTTTATCTAGGCATGACATTTAGAATCTTTATTGGTTTTGATATTACCCAAACGTATGGACATATTTGTTCTAAATAACATGAACAATAACAAAATTATGGTATCATTAAAGTTTATAATTACGTTTCGATGCGTCCCTCGCAGAGTAAAGTTGTGAGCTACACCCTCATTACATTAGAGTGTGCAGGCCGAGCCATCTGTGATACAAGTTAGCGTCCGTCATCGTGAAATTATGAACTGACCTAGTTAATTTAAACTTATTTTTAATATGATCATTTCTCCTACATTATCCTACTCCCATAGGGTCGTAGGGTTTTCGTCCTCCAAATAACTATATCATCTGTCATCTCAGTCAATCCCTTCTTGATCATGTCAGCTTTTACTCAATCCGTCGATCTATTTCTAGGTCAACCTTTACCGGTGTACCACACTCGTAACTAACATGCTTACTTTGTTACATGTTAAACTTATTTTTAATTTGCATTATTTAATCCATTTTAGATCGGTCGGACATGTCCTGTAAATAGCAAAGATTGGCTAGATTACAAGTTACTTGTAGAAGTTACAATGCAAGAAGGTTGATACATAGTAGGTAAGGCTACCACACCACGTCTAAGGTTAAGGGATTTGGATGAGGACAGCAGGACCCGAGGACGCGCCACGTCGGAGTTCACCTTTCCGCCCACTTGGCCGCCCGAGCAAGTCCGTGGAGGACAGCAGTGAACCTATCTTAACCAACTCATAAGATAGGCCAATAATCACTAGCAAACACCTTATGCATCTGTTTGAAACAAAAATGAATTACAAAACCAATAGAAAATTACTTTATTCATATTCCCTTATAGCTAGGAGATTAGTGTCTAAAGAAAGGTACCTTGTGTTATCGATTACCAGGCCAATAATTTAACTTAATTCGACACTAAATACTTAATCATATGAGATACTAGCTTTCGCCCGTGACTCCATCCGAATGGAATTAAAAAAAATAATAGCCTATGTGTTCTTCCTGACTATCCTACGCAACTATGCTAAATTTCTGTTGAATGTTTCTACAAACTCTAACAAACATCCATCTATCCATGCATACATCTAAACTTTCGCATTTATAATATTAGTAAGAAGCAAGATAAGAAGAATGATGACGTGATTTAGAAGGTGGAATTGATCAAGGATAGATTGTTTTAGAGATGTTAACCTTATTGGTATGACCGCATATAAATTGGGAACGAACAGAATGATAATACTAAGATCAATGTTCACAATACTCACACATGAACAAAAAAATAAAACGTAACCGTTTACGGTATTAAAACTAATGGTGCGGTTAATTTCTCAAGAGGAAACAGCTTCACTGGCGGTATTGTATCAAAAAGATTTTATCGCGTTCCGGTTTTATCATTCCCGTGATTCTTTTTACTGTCATAAATAATGTCCACATACTTTAGAATTTTATATTTTTTCGGATTATTCCGGTTCTGCTTCCTTATTACTGCAAAAAATAACGTTATAAAATAGTTTAGACATTTTTTAATTGGTGCGTTTACGTCGTTTTGGAAACGTTTTCATGTGAGACATGAACAGTTTTCATTGTGTTTACTTTAGTAGTTTTTTATTTATTATTAAAACGACGAATTCATGATATTGATATACACATTATAACTACGTTAGTCTAATCACTTAGTAATAAAAAATAATACAGTAAAACTTGTTGAAGATAGGGTGAAATATATTATCCAAGCGCGACTTTCTGCCCCGCCCAGTCCGGTCCTGAATCGTATTTTAAATCCTTCTTATCTTTTTGGTCCATGTGTAGTGACAGAGCGGCCCGTAGCTACTTACTGTTACGGGTGCAGCCGTATATCACTTAGGTCTTTTATGGACGATTTATAATTTTTCTTTTACCTGCGATTACTGTTTTACTCAGTATCATTAAATGATCGCTAAACGATTCTCAGAACCTGTACAAATAATCCACACTAAGGCGTTCAATAAAGCTAAGCATATTACGTGGCACAGTATTGTAATTACATTTAAAATAACCTTGTAGTCAGGTGATTATTATTTACCGATGCTTGAAATCTAAGACAATTGTTCCTATGCCATTATGCTAAGAACCCAAGGAGTGCTGAAGCAATGGTCATTGAATTATCGCTTTCCTAACTCCTGATGCATTTCTACGCTCTACGACGGTGCCTCTAGTTTTGTGAAACAGAAATGCTTAAATGCATTTTACACACAAAGCGGCAAAAATAATGAACCAGACTGCACGAACGTTGAGTAAATTAAAACTAATGGAGCACTTAATTTCTCAAGAGGATAAAGCTTCGCACCAACTCTGAATTTTATTCAACAGATTTTATTGCGCTGCAGGTTAACGTTAACTTTAGTTTGGGACTAATTTTCACATAATGAAAGTAGTAACCAAACTGTTGCGAACTAAATAATATAACGAGAATAAAATGCTATTCATGGCAACACGCAAGTTATGAGGGTTTAGCATAATACAGTCCGTTTACTAATAGGAAAAAGTTTACTCTAGATCTAGATCCACTATTACATAACGAGTGAGGCACTAAAACATTCCAATCTTTTTATTCCTTTATAACCTTTATTGGATTAATAGATAATTCGGCCACCATGAATTTAATACGCCGTTACTTTTCGTATTAAGTTCATAATTGAAATATACTTTACAATTGTTGTACAAAGCCAGAATATATTTTAAAAACAGTACAACTTTTGCACCCAGTAAAAGTATTCTATGGTAAATTCCTTTACTACGTTTAGGAAAATTGACTTTGCAAAACATAGAATTTATTCCGACAAAATTATCGCAAAATGTTTATATAATTTGATGCGTTAAACAAATTACAATCTTTGCAATCTGACGTCTACTGTCAATGTCACGCGTACGACGTACAATTTCCTTGTCCTAAAATACGAAACAACTTGAAAGCGGGTAGCATTGCTGTTGTATTACCTTTTGATGATTGTTATTGACCTTGTGGAAGTCGTCAGGACAAGTTGTCCAGTGTATTTTTGTGTTGTTAGTGCGACGGTACAAAGAAATATAGTTCATAGTTGAACACAAGTGGGACAAGCGGAGGAAATCCTGAATGTAAGTTTACTATAGTATTACCCCTACTTCTTTCGCTTACGTATTTATAAGCTAAAATTGATTAGTAATTTATGACGCATATTAGAGTTTCCTTCCTAGTTTGGTCTAAAAGGCTTAAAACTTACATTAACCGAAGCTAAAACGCAACTTAGTCATTCAAGAATGTATATGATATATGTTTTACATTACATAGCTATTGGTTCACAAAACTTTACTACGTATGTATTTCAATGTACGAATTATATGAATTAATTTTGTATAAAAAACAATTAGGAACCTTATACATTTAAGTTAACCATTCAATAACTCTTACCATTTTGTTATTCAAGTTTTTGATTATGACCATTGAATTATAATGGAGTAACACTTTAATTAAACAATAATCATAACCTTGTATGTGTTGAAATGGTTTATTCTTATATTTTAGAGTTCATTTTCCTTAGATGTACTATGACATTGTATATTTCTATCCTCAATCATCTAAAGTGGTACATCCCGTTATTTGTTAAAATGTAATAACAATTTAGTATGGCAAGAGGTTATCATTGAAATGTTTATAGATATAAACTGCTACCAATTCTTTTTATATTATGTTATTATTTACATAACAGAATACTTAGAATTATTGAATCAATTTACAATCGGAGGTTGGCTAAAATTTTAATTTAATGTTGAGTTTAAGTGTGGCTTTATCACTTAAGATGTTACATTTTTAAATACTGCTTTAGTATGTGATGAGTAGTGTTGTTGGGTAACTAATTGCTTGTTCACCACCTGGTTCTATTAAAACATCACATAGTCCATGTTGAAAACAATCTAAAAGGAAGGAAATGTGCATATTATTAACTTATAGCTTAAATGGTTTAATTGATTTTTAATGCTAGAGTATTGAACTTTATATTCTCCTTAGTAGTAGTAGTAGCTGTAGGGGCTACGGTTTCCGCAAATCCATGACTGGCGCGTATTTTGGGTAATAATAGGATATAGATTACTCCATCCAACCCAGCTGTCCGCAGAACCCCAGCAAACCCTTTATATTGCTGGTGATCTCTGGGAATGATCTCAGCGAACCAAGATACCTAACCCTGTATTCAGTCACTGCTGGGCAGTGTTGTATGTTGTAATGCGGTTTAAATCTATACTTCTATACTATTATAATAAAGCATAAACACACACTTCTTTGTTGCCTAATATGTCAGCAATCACAGCATATTTTCTAATAACTCTTTTTTTTAATACAAGCCCTACACCTATGTCACACTTTAAGATATATATTTTCACGCCGTTAAACTTAGGGGTAAATATTCTGGATAAAAACCCTAATGTGGGAAAGAGACCATAAGTTGTTGCCAACATCATGTCATGTCATTTTGACATTTGCAATTGATAATTTGACAAATGTGAACAATAGAATTATTTTTTATAATTGTATGCGGATGAAGTCGCATGGGAACAGCTAGTTCTATATGTTCTTCTTATTTTTAAGCACCTTATTGAATTTGAGACATGTGTGTAATGTATTACTCATATCATAGAGTAACTAATTTATTTTTAAAGTTCAGTAGAATCATTATTTTGATCTATAGAGTTGCTATGGCCATGGAATTGACCTTTGATTGCAATCTTAATACATTTACTACTACTATTAAAAACCAGGTTCTAATATGGTTTTAGTATATAAATTTCTAATTATGTGTGTTTGTAAAAGAATGAGCAAAAGATAATTGTGCCAATTGCTTTATGGTAATAATACAATAAATCTGGTTTACTATGAGTTTATACTACCAAACTATAGTACTTTCCTAAATTGTTTCAAAGAGAAATGAGGATATTATATTTTTTTATAAATATCATAAGTAATATTGAAAAGTAAACTATGTTTAAAAAAATTCTATACAAGGATGATTTATACACCGTTTCATTTTACCAAAAACTATTATACAACAGAGCTCATATAAAACTGTCATAATAAAACCCCTATTCGTTACGTAAATGTTCGATCAATTATCTTTTCATGAGCATTTATTGGCCAAACATTGAATACCAACACACATATTAACTCAAATATGGGTCTCGGTACCAACTAACATTAACTTGATATATTCTCTAAAGGCCCATTCATCCTAAAAAGTTTCGTCATGCGTGAACAGTTCGCCATAAAGACGTCTCGCTATGTGAGAAATAACTTCCTTTAGAGTAATCCGAAAGCCCAGTGGGCTACCGAGAACAATTATGGCGGCTAGCCAGCTTCGGCTTGTATCAAATGAGATAACGTACCACGTATTGATAAAATCAACAAATACCGTCACTAAAATTAGGTATTAAGAAGTTCATTTAAAAATGTGGTATTACTTGAAAATCACATGTTAGCCTAATTGTTTGGGGTACGGACTACCTATCTCGCGGTCGAGGGTTTGAATCCCTTTCGACTATTGTCGTCAACCATATCCTAGTACAGCTTATTTGGTACGGTTAATATTTCTTATATTTGTAAATTAACAAAAAATCAACTAATATTTTTTTTATATTTTTTTCTTCTAGGCGCGTATTTTAAATCGTAGTACATAAAATAATGGTTATTATAGATGTTATTCCTAATTCATCTCCGTAAGATGAATTATAGTTACTACAACTACGTGCGAATTAATTACATCTAATTATGAGGAATACTACAACACAAGAATGGTGCTATCATTATGCAAATATAAATACGTTTTATGGAAGTTTTCTGTACATATAAGACAATTATGATCAGCAACCATTTATGACGTCTATCGCAATCATACTCTGTTTCAATGTTCTCAATGAAGTTCTTGAGATCCGTTCAAGGTTATTTACATAAAAAGAACTAAAAATAACTAGATTCTCACGGTAAACACAAATCGCTGTACGGCTCTAATTCTTACAAGGCGCAAAAAAAAACATTCTATGTTAAAGTGTTATTGAAAATGGGGTATCGAATTTCTGTTCAAACCTTAAACAATTTTATACGAATTTGATATCATTGTTTTCTTAACAAAAGAGTTACTGGAGCTTTAGAACAATACTTATAAATTACCAAATATTTTGATAACAGCCAGTTTTCAGTTAAACCAAAAACGAACGAAAACTATTCGAATCTAACCTTGTTCAAAACTGCTTGTTTACTTTAATGCAGACTTAGTCACCTGTTAAAACACCTATACGTTTTCAAGCCATTCGCGATCTCCAATTCACATATATAACAGATAATCTAAAAATATTGCCACCCCTCGATACTGCCGATTATGTTTTGGCTGCGGTCCAAAACATGGGTACAGCGCCACTTTATCGCATTAGGACAAATTCAATCAGTTCTCGCTTCACTTAATACGTTCGCTTAGTTTGGACGCCTCCGAAGATTTACTCTTGCACTAAGTCAAGATAAGTCTGCTTGATTGTTGATATAGAGACCCTATTCCCCAAACTCCTATTTGAATGAACATTTATCCTTACATTGTTTAGCAAGAATCTCTTTTATTGTTCCTTTACAGCGTTGGAAAGGTATAACGGCTTCATATTAATATGTTTTAGGGCCTGTACCACCACTGGCTGACAAGTTTAAAAATGATGTCACAGTCAGATAAGGGAACAAAATCGTATATTTCTATCACATATTTTACACGTGGGGTTGTTGTCGGACAGTTTACAATTTGGTGGGACAGGGCCTTAATATCCAAAATTAATATTCACTACTTTTCGAAGCTTGCCGTAAGCATCATCAATTGATCGTTAGTTATCAGACTTTAAAACGAAGAAATCGAGTCTTTACAAATTTCGCTGGAGTTGCATAAAATACTTCTGTTCATTATGTTACTCGTTATTATACTTCTGTTCATTAGGATCTCGATTAAATTTGGCATACATGTACGAGTAGAGGATAGTCTGGAAGAACACATAGGCTCTTTTGTTTTTAATTCTACGCGTACAGAGTCGCGGGCGAAAACTAGCGTTTTATAATACGTACGAAATATTGACAAACAAAAGATAACGTTCGGAACACATAACTATTCGTACGACGAACTGAATGTATGATCTCATATACGTTTTACCCGACCTTATCTCTCGTATGAACAAATAACTTCCATAGTTCCTCTGTATCAACATAGTCTATTTAACAAGTTTAGTGCGCAATTCCACACATCTCTATTAATCAATATTGATTATTTTTGTGGTTCATGTTTATATGTTTTGCTTAAATTATTTCTTCAATTTTATCTTATCTTGTACGCAAGTCGACCTTACTCTATTAATTTCTTAGAATTTTAAGTGGGAATTTTTTAAATATTGGGTATTTATTTAAATGTTTGGGTTAGGCGGTTTACCGTATTTATAGTGATGATAATAATCGCTACTAGTAACTGATGATTGTGAAAATTGCGCGTTTTTTTAATTAAAAAATCTTATAATTAACTAATTTCTGTATTGTCTGTTACCATTTAAAGTCAACAATAAATTATAAAAAAATAGTTGACTAAACTACTACAGTACTAAAAAAAAACATTCAAACGTAACGTAATACAAAATCAATATCTTCGAGTCTCCAAGTAGGAAATGTGGTATCAGGATTCTTGCTTTGCTACATAAAGAACATTCCAGATTTCTTTGTGAAAAGTAGTCAGGAATTGTGAAGAAAAATAAAAATTCCATGTACTGCCGGGATGTGACTGCAAATCTGCGGAAATGTGCAAGATTTCGCCATTGGAATATTTTTATATAGTGTCTCTGCACCACCTACCAGTAGAGCTGTTCGATCAATATCGATATATTAACATCGGGAAGATCCTGTATTTCTAATTGTATACGCTTACTGCGTTTACATCACGTTATGAAGGTACAGTTTTTTAATTATTCCCAACCGTCGACCCGCTCTGTACCCACGTGAGGATAAAAGTTTCATCCGTCCCAACTTTTAGTCTTACTATCACCAATATCATAAGGTTAGAGATGGAACTGCTATGAAATAAAATAAGTTCCAACCGTCCCCTCGTCGCAAAAGGTGGGACGAATAAAAACTTTTTTTTTTTCATCCGTCTCTACGTGGGGACAGATCGGGGTGACAGTTGGGAATAATCTCAATTTCTTTGTTTAAATAGGCAAATATTCGTTGTTTGACATTGTCTTCCGTTTCGAATAAAACAAATTATTTGTAACGAGGTCCTTTAACATTCACAATGTGTTAAATCATTCACGCACTCGACATAGGTTCGGTGCATATTTAGTACAGCGTTAAATATCGATGCATTTCCAACCAAGCTCCGGTTTATTGGACAACACTAGCGCCAATGCGAAAACACGGTGGGGATTTCCGTCGTTATAAATCCCGGCACGCGACATCCTCACTTTACACGCGCCACATCCCGGCAAACCGTGAATTTCTGCAGTGAAAAGCCGACTGTGATACACGGCTCCCGGTGTTTTAAAGTACCGTAACATTACGACTGTTTGCGACGTTCCCAGCATTAGTTAGTTTAGTCTATTACCCAGCTATTGTTTGAGCCGCATATTGCCTTTTGTATCGAAAAAATGGAATTAAACCTCACACAATTTTTATTTTGCTTTTCACGTTACCAATTCGTCAGAATTATTAGCACCGGAAGTTAAAACAACTTTATACATAATTTACATAGATAACAGGAAACTATTAAAATCATTTAGGTATTATGCTAATAATGATCACCATGAATATCTACATTGGAAGTGTGATAAGTGTAGGTAGAAATGAAATAATTAAACTTGGAGTTACCATATGTGACGCCATCTTATCCACGGAACAACGGTTGCTGTTATATTGTTTCATTCGCCGTGGGTGTATCTCAAAGCACGGCTTCTTTTAGAAAGAACTTATGATTGAGCGAAGTGTAAGTCGTTTGGGAAATCGAATGAAACTTTTATATCCAAAATAAATCAATAGGTAAGATAGTAGAATAGACATAGAGAGTCGATTCGCTATATAAAGCCAATAGACAATGAACGTCGTCATCGGAGGGTTATAGCCGTTCACAAGTGAAGTATGGCGGTGACAGTGTAACCGTTAAAGCGGCCGTTACCGACCGAGTGATGAACGAGCCACTAAGTGTCTCCGCGCCGCTGTCACTTCACGTGGAGCAAAAAGATAAAAAGCATTCCGAAATACGATTCACAAGTGGGCCCGAGAAATGGATAGAGAATCGCCGAGCGCGGCTTTATGCCCGGCAATATATCTCTCGTATCTCTATCCAATTTCTGCTCTATGGCGTGTAATATCCCACAGCGATCCTTTTAATTTTTGCCTCGGCCTTTAATTTCAGACCATTAATTCCAGTCTTATAACCGTATATTTGCTGGGAAAGATTTTTTTGTAATCCCCGAGGGATAAGAAAGTATCTTTGTGCTTTGTGATTCTATGTTCGTACCATCTAATTACTCCTTTGGATAGGGTACCCATTTCGTTGTATGTGTGCGATTTTATTAACTTATATTAAAGATAAATTATTTACAAGAGCTGATAGAATTTTTTTTATTAGTTTCTCTTGAAAAATATTTTCCACTGATATTTAGTTTCTGAAGTGTACTTTAAAAATAATGTAGCGTTTCGCTGTAAGAAGCAGAGATGGCTATTTGTCTGGTCGCGTCGCACTACAAAACGACGTAATAATGTGCGGCAGCTTAACTTGCCAACATTTTGCCAAGAGAGCGATTTAAAACTTGACCGTCCCCGATGTCGCTACTTTGCCGAGCAGCTTCAAATTAATCTAACTTGCTCGCCATCGACCGCTCATGAATTTTGTTTTGTACTGTGTGTCTTGTGAATTTGTCACTACTAGAATGTTTGTTGCTCTTGTGACGTCAATTTACTTCGCGTATCGTATTTGTTAATTTTCTTTGATAGCTTTCAAACAATTATTAACTTTATTCCTTCTTGCTGAAAATTATCTGTGTTAGTAGATTTCTCAGAGATATAAATCAATTTCTTATTTTCTACATTCCAAAATAACCTAACTTTCTGGCCGAATTTTATCCGAATTGTTTCTAAAGGGGATTGTCATAATGAGGCATTAAATGAAGGACTAATTGCAAATTATCGTGCGTCGAATATCCTAAAGTTGGGAGTGAATTGCGTGACTTGGTCACCCCGAGCCCGGCGTCTGACCTTTGCCATTCCAACGCGCCCCTGTCTCCCCAGCTAAACCCGCCTTGATAATTTGATTTACTTACAATCGACATCATTTACCTTGATTTAATGAAACTTTATACTTTCTGTAATAAAGTATGAGTTTTGTTATTTTGTAATTTCTAATGTAGTATTCGTCCGCGTGAAATTAAAAAAAAAAACAAGCCTATGTGTTCTTCCAGACTATTATCTACATCTGTACCAAATTTCATCAAAATCTTTTCAGTCATTTAGGCTACAAACTCTAACAAACATTCATCCAACCATCTAAACTTTTGCATTTATAATATTAGTAAGGTAATGAAAAGTACGTATGCTTAAAAAAAATCTCAGTGATTAATTACATCATCGTCGTATATTAATTACACTCGGGCCTCTGTTATCTTGTAGTTCATGTTCTTTTTCTATGCACAATGTTAACGCGGTCATCGCTCCAAATAAAGTAGAAGCTTTGCTATGTTCGAGTATGACGAGCGACTCTTGAGATTTTGATAACCAGGCGACGATAGCAAACCACCGAGTACTTCTAAAAACCGTGATGTGTTTTTTATATGAAGAATTATAAATTCTATTTACTCTTATTTATTGTCCAAAAACGACTTAAATTTAACCTGAATATAATCTTGCTTTCTAACTTTAATGCATAACACATGGTAAGTTAATTTGTAGTTAACTACTGCTAAGACTTCAAAGCATAGCCAACTCGTTTCGTAACTATGAAACATACAAGAGCATAATAGACTTAATTCCTTTACTAACTTCACGGGGGTGTAAGTCTGTTAGCGGCTTTGATTCTGGAACGTGAGCCGTGTAAACGAGCAACGGTATGTAACGTTGCATTTCAGTTTTCAATAAAGGGTAACACAAGTTACGGCATAAGCCCCTGTACGTTTACTCACCTGGCGCAGTAGTTGGTAACGAGGTTATATGAAACAGTTTGGGGCGAAATTGCTCTGGGAATGTACTCGGGTGTCATAAAGTTTGGACGGAACGTCGGACAAGCGGCACCTGTTCTCAGCTTCCTATTATATTACGTGCCGGCGAGTTATTAAGTGCACGGTGCGACATTGTTGGCCTTATGCCGTGTTGATTTCGCACAGATATTTTCCCTGTTTCCTTTGTGTCTGACCATGTCATTGTGTGGATTAATCTAAATTGTTTATGAACGTTGTATTTGTATGTTGTCGTTGCGGTTTTTAATCTTATTTGTTTCGTTTACAAACAAGGTACATATTGTGATTACTTTTTTTTAATATGGCTTTATGTATGATTTCAGTTTGCAATGGATTGGAGGACAGGTCTACTGGCGCTATGTTTGGTGTTTTACGCTGATGCTTTTTCCAGTAAGTATAAGGAATACACATGCCAGTAAAATAGTTGCTTATTGTTTACCTTGCATGCTAGTCACTGGCACTAGTTATATTTATTGGGACGATATCTGCATTAGCATTTTTATCTAAATGTAACGAGACGTATAGGATATTGACATGAAACTAAATTCAAATTCCGCGCTAGGGCTCATTTCTTATGGATTCTAAACAAATTTCTATTAATCTATACCTACCATCCAAAAAATATACATATCTGTAATAAAAAATGACTTTCGTTGAGATGAAAAAAGACCATTGGAAACGCATCTCTTCGTGTTTTACTATGCCCTAGATCCCCTTACATACAGCTTTCCATTACCTAATGCACACATAAACCTTTCCCAGCCACCGAAGTATAACAAAACAATGAGTTATGATCAGACCTTACGGCTCGCTTTTTACTCCACTTTATTGCATCTAAAGTCACAAGTGCTATAAAATTTTCTCATACTTGGCTGTTACATCGATCTAAAAAAACCACGAGTAGACGAGGAGGAACTTTATACCGAAAGATGAGATAGCCAAGATTTCCATTTAAGGCACATGTACTTTTATGAAATTTTAATTCCTTTAATGTATTTAAATGCATGTTTATTTTTCAACTAAATATATTAACCATCAAATACTTTTACACTTAGACAGAATCTAAAAAAAAAAATTGCCTTAGTATCTGGTACTAAGGCAATTTTTTTTTTTCAAAATCTCGAAAGTTTACTATAAAATTGTGTTGCTCCATTTTGAAGAATATCTGTGTTAAAAACTTCTTTATTTATATAGAAAGTTTAATATCAGTTCCCGTGCCCGTTACAACAAAACGCCGAATGGAACATACTCAAACTTCCCCCAAAGCCCATACTTCATTTCCATTTTATCATGCCGTTTTCTTTTGTATAAGTTTTTTTCTGCTTATAAGTTTGTTTGTTATTGTAAGACTGGAATGCGTAACAATAAACCGGGGAATGTAGCGCATATTATAACTTCGAAGCGTAAAGGATGGGAAAACAATTCAGTGGTGAAAAGTTTCTCGCCTTCTTCGCGTTATATTACATTCGGTATTGACTCTCGAGGGCCATGGTGAACCGAATCTAAGTACATAACCTTGTATATTCAAATGACCCTTTTCCCCTTACGAGCGAATTCTTTACCCGGTCACGATTTTGGGTTATAAAAAAAGGGCACAATTCCCGAAGTAACATGAATAAAATTTATTCATAGAATGTGCGCGCTTACATTTCCTAACACCTTATTATATCAATAACTGGCCCTTTCTATGGCCCCGTGTCGTATAACTATTTGTTTGAGGTAGTCGATTTGCAATGCATTTTTACATACCAAAAAGTATTTTATAGTCGAAAGATATCTAGTAAACGACCTTTCTTTTGCGCGACTTCTTGGTAATACATATTTTTTTTTTTACAGAATACGGAAGGACGTGTAAAGACATAGGATGTCTGAACAGCGAGGTATGCGTGTTGGCGGAGGATCCCTGCACATTCGGCCACACCAGCGACTGCGGCACTTATCCAACTTGCAAGAAGAAGTCTAAAGTAGAAGGTACCTCGCCTTTATCTTAAACGTCGCGTTTTATTATTCTCTTTAAAGGTATTATTTCATAACGAAAACAGAATTATGTATTTTTGCTACCGAGTAGGCAAACCGGACAAAAACGGAGTTATGCCAGTACCGTGCAAACCGGAAATCCGCAATCAGAGTCGACCGCTTTAGTCCGAGGATGCTGCTTTATTATTTTAATCTTATGATCCGAGGTCAAAGGTTTAATACTAAACTCTGTTTATTATGAGCGAAAAACATCGTTATTTAAAATTCATATATCCCTAAAAAACGCTATTGGTACTTCATACGATCATTATGTCACCATAATGTTCTCTTTTCAGGTTCCCATTCGGAACCTGTTCAGCCTTCGGTTCCAAAACCGGCGCCCCACACACCCACAAGCGACTTCGACTCCCCACCTCATTATCCTGCGCCAGCGCCGCCTTCGCCAAATATGGGGGGCAATACACACGGAGGAAGCTCTCCTTATGGCGGTAATTCGCCGTATGGTGGCAACTCACCTTATGGCGGAAACTCCCACACCGGGGGCGGTTCCCCTTATGGTGGTAGCTCTCCCTATGGCGGTAATTCGCCTTACGGTGGGAATTCTCCGTATGGCGGCTCAACAGGCGGACACTCTCCTTACGGAGGCAATTCCCCATACGGAGGTAGTTCACCATACGGAGGAACAGCGAACCGCGGTGGAAACAACCCATACGGAGGAGGCTCCAATCCATCGGGAACAAAGAGTCCATTAGATAACATCTTTAATACACTAAACAACTTCGCCAACGGCGGAGGCACGGGAACTGGAGCCGGCGGTGCAGGGTTATCCAACATCTTCGGGAACATACTTGGGAATTTATCGAAGAACGGAGGTTTGACTGGATTCCTAAACACTAGGCCTTTAATGGAAAACCCTAATTATGCGTCGCACAGTTCTAATTCGAGGAGTGCTAACCCCCAAAATTATCCATCAGCCCAGCCCGCGTACCAAGCGCCAAGTCAGAACAGGAATTATGGTCAAAGTAATGCTCGGTACAACGCGGCCACTACGAGACGACCGGCGACCTATGGCTGGAACTTCGGGTAAATACAACCCTAGTTGCAACGCCTTTATGGATGTTTACTTCAGCTTTGCATGAATACTCTTTAACAACTAATGCAAATTTTATACTCAACAGTTCGCAATATGTCATCGAACTGGACACTTTTTTTAAATCACTGTAATTTTAAGTTCAACCAACACTGATCTCTAAAAATGAGTAGGTCTTTGCTCGGATTTTTTTTTTTTCATAAAAACGCCTGTTGATGTTCCTGGCTAAATTCTTTATTTATTGTGAAAGTCAAATAGCCAAAAACACCACGGATTTTCAGCCTGTCCATTTATAGAGGTCAGTGTAAACCATGCTTTAATTTTAAGTTTCTTATTTTATAATTTTGTAACAAATAACAACTAAAATGCAATTTTCAAGAGCTTTATAACGAATCTCCTGTAGATTTTCAATTAGATTGGTTAAGGGCATTTTTTAATACTAAGCTGAATTTAACTATGTTTACTTCTCTTTTAACTGCATATTTATAGATTTAGCTACTATGAAAAGGTTTTTTTCTTAATCCAGTAAACACTCATGTAACACCAAAGATTTTTTTTACTTATAAAACTTCCTTATTGAAGAATTTATTACAATTATTAAAAAGGATTTTAAATTAACATTTTTCGCAATATGTAAAAAATGCAATTCATAAAACGCTTATTTTATTTTGTGAACACTTTTAAATTGCATTTAAAAAACGAAATATTAGTTTACATTTATCATTGCTTAAAAAATTAAAAGCACAGAAACCAAGCTTGTCAAATGGATCTGAACACTGAATTTTAATGTAAATAATTTTTTATATAAAAATAAAAAACATATTTACTGTAGATATCGTAGACAAACCAGTGCACTCTTCGGGAATTTTCCACTTGGTTAAATAAAAAAAAATAAGAATTTGCTAATAAATTTATTTTAGGAAATGTAAGAACAATAAATTGTAAACTATACAAAATTAAGATATTTACAAAAAACGGAATGCATTTAATAATTTTCTATGACTCCGATTCTTCGGAATGCATAATTTTATTTTTACTTGATATTAGATAAATGTCAAATACTCAGCTATTGCAAATAACTTTTTCTAAAAAAACTCAACTAATCAATTTCAATGTTTTTGACCGTAATCTATACTAATATTATAAAGAGGAAAGATTTGTATTTTTGTATATATCCAAATAACTCGAAAACTACTGGGTCGATTTCAAATAATCTCACCATTTAGAAGTTACGTTATCAGTGAGTAACATAGGCTATATTTTTTTAATTTCACGCCAACTAAAAGCCATAGCTAGTTTTATATGTCAATAGTTAAGAGTTACTATTTTAGATTTTTTTTAATAACATAAGTGTCATTTTAATTCTTCGCATATTATATTTATTTCAGTGTGGCTTTGTTGACATTCGTGATACATCAGTACTACAGTGTGCTACTCAACTAATTTATGTAGAAAAATATATTTTTTTAAATATAATGTGATATATTCAAATGCCTTGTGATTAATTGTTGCCGTCAGTAAAAGTTTATGTATATGTTGTGAAATTAACATTAAAGTTTTATTTTATTCGAGTCCTTGTTTATTTAAACATCACCTTTTCTTACTCAATATTTTTTAGTCTTTTAGGAATTAACCTGTTTTGATTATCTAACTTACATTTCCACCATCATTCATCAGGTGTTTGTGTCAGTTTGATTATTGATATATGTAAATGAAATTGGTAAATGACTTTTACTGCTCAATACGATTCCAAGTAGACTAGAAAAATAAAAAAGAAGATTGTCACAATATAATTTACTATTTATCTATTACTTGTAAAAAGTAAAAAAGTCTAAAAAGGTCAATATGTACTTGTCTTTTCTTTAGGAGGTAGGATTAAATTACTTCTATTATTCTCAGTACCAAATTCTACATCACCACTACAACCTTAAATATCACTAGGACCCAAATCTATGAATACCCTCCCTTTTAAAAAAAAAAATCCTAGACATTATTGTTTCACAGTTTCAATTTTTTCTTTCGTATCCTCTATTTTCTTGTGTTTTCCAATCTTATGTACTTGGTTAAGTAATATACCAAGTATTAGGAACGCGAACCAAACGCCGTACCAATAATGGTATACAGAGGAATAATAAATCCAAATGCGATCAAATGTTAATAACAAAAATGCAGCGGCCTGATAAGATTCTGAATGAGATCGTAAGAACCACATTATGAAGCCGATAACTTTCTTTTTCTGAAACAAGAGAAAACTTTTTTACATATTTCAGTTACATCAATTTTTAAAGAAATATATCATTTTGCTTTTTACACCACACATGACAAAAGGTCTTCAGAGATTCTAATTACTTGCAATATAAAATCACACACATCAAAGCAAAAAAAATATAAGCAAAATTCAATTATAACATGAATATTAGAGGAAATATAACTTACCATTCCTGTAGAATCTTTGTAATAAAGTTTGTAATAAATATCTTCTGCCATCAAATAAAATGGACAGAAATAAATGCAAAAGAAGTAACCAGCATGGTAGCCATGCCAAATCACAGACACAAATAAAGCTGCATGGATCCTAAAAAAAAATAAAAGTCAATTATTAATAAAGGTTTAACCATGACTTCGTTTTATAGAAATAAAAGAACCTATGTTTGATAATACACTATGTTCCACATTTGAGGCAAATTTCAACGAGATTTATTAAGCTGTTTATGTATCTTGGAGATAAATAAAAAAAACATCCATCCAACCAAGGTTGAAATCTGGCAACTTACTTGAGTGGTTTTACAGGAAACCTCTTGTAGACAACCATAGCCACCCAGTACTGCACAGCTTTATTCCAGACTTTCATAGAGTCCCGTAGAGTAACTACGGTTTCACAACCCCACACATCCATTGATTCTACAGTGTTGAAATCATATTGAGCTGATTTTGCTTCCAACTCATTCCTGTTATCAAATAATATACCTTGTACACTAGGGCAGAACAGTTGGACAGTAGCAAAGACCAAACACAGATTGTATGGACTCTTTGGCGTCAGCGATTATTTAGATTATATACTGTCCAATTGGACTGGCTAAGAGTAACCCAACTATAATTGTATTTATAACACAAAAAGCAAATTTACTAGAGTACTGCATTTTGCTTTAATAAGCGGAAAATTTAACCCATATTAATTTTAAAATAATCCTTTCAGTCAAATACTTACATTGCTTTAAGCTTCAAATACCCTACAGTTGGTCCATGACCAGTTCTATTCCTCCCTTGTATAGGATAAGCTCCTAAACCAGCTGACGTGCACACACTCTCAGCTAAAGTCATGCCAGAATAAACTCTCTGTCTAAATGCAGCAAACAATGCCCAGGGATACAACATTCTGTATAAGAAGTTTCTGTTGTTGTGATCTTCACTCAGAACATACTGAAAGGCAATATATAGATAGGGTATATTAGATATACCCTAAGGTAGGAAATAAGCAATTGCCACCTGAATCTGCCAAATGCCAAAATAAATACTACCCATAGATATATACTATTGAGGACATGTGGAGAAGCAAATGCACAGAAAGAGCATATTTTACTTTCCTATCCCTTCTTTTTTATATCCATATACCTTCCCACCCTTTTCTCTTAAGGAAAGAATGCATATTAAACCTCTTAAGAAAAAAAGGGACTTAATTTGAAAAGTCGTAAGTATTATGTTTATATTTGAAATAACAACTTTGAAATTGGAAATGCAAATTAAATTGAACATGAAGAAGTTGAAATAGCAAATTGTAATAAATCCATTGGTGAGGAATTAAGGTTGAAATTCGAATGACAACTACTAATATTGGTTAGTAAGCAAGATTATATGATTTCACTCACCTCTAAAGGCCAAAGGTTAGAGAGTGCTAAATATAGAGAAACATATAACGGAACTATCTTCAATGTATTGATTGTGAAACCGGTGCAGTCTACATATTTGCTAAAGGGCAGATGAAAGTAATCATCAAAAGTCCTATATCTATAGTATGGACCTAAAACAAAGTACAATTTTATACTTAATTTATTTACAATATTACAACTACTGAAACACATTAACATATAGTTATCTCTCATTTTCTTGTAAGAATGAAAGAGATCAATATATTTTTGTAAGTGTTTTGTGAAAGACTTAGTTACCTGTTAATAACCCAACATAGTTAAAAGTGTAATGAAATAAATCAGCATAACATGGATTTATTATTTCAACAAAATCATCATCTCTATCAACACCTTTAACTTGAGAATTATCATCTTGCTTCTTTGTTTTTCCAACAGTTATCCAAGATCCATTTATTTCAAATGCTACTCCAACAACTCTTAACACAATTATCATTTCTATCAAATTAGTTTGTCCCGATGACAACGGTAAACCAAATTTATCTGCTAATCGGAAGAAAAACAAATATCCAAACATCAGAAAGAATGTTGCTACATGGCAGTATCTGAAATTAAAGTATCATTAGTTTTTTTATTGCATTTCATAGCAAATAACATGCAAATATAATCTTACCTTACAGTTGCCAATTTAATAACTGTTATTCCAAGAAGTGCTGAAAATATTGGATGAATAGCATTGTAACCAGATGCAGTTACTATTAGAAGTAGTCCAATTATTGAACCAATCCATTTCTTAGCATTCACTGATCCTATACTTCTATAATATCTCCCTATAAAAACACTGAATAGTAAAAGTCCTAAATAAATTAAGTCATTTTTGTTTTTATTTATAAAAGCCAACATTTTTGATATCCCAAAGTGTGTAATAAATAAAAAAAATTATTTAGTGGTTTTGTTATGTTTCATATTTTTACAGGCCACAATTGCAACCTAACCTAACAACGTCGAATGCAACGTTTAAGCAATGCAAGATGTACACTTTATTTAAAATGTAATCAATACTTTTAAGAAATGAAACAACGAATTACTATAATTTGTCTAAATAGTGATGAATGAATGATGATTAGTTTAGTTTGACAATTCATTTGACAATTTAGTAGGGTTAGTGTTATGTCAGGTGTTAATCTTTTCGATTATCGATTTTTTTCTGTTAGAAGTTGGAATCGATGGTTTCGTAGATTTAGCATATGGATTGAGAATTCAAAAAAAAACATAGCAAAAAAATTCTCGGCGTTAGATAATTGTTTGAGAACGAAGGAGAAAAGAGAAGAATCGTTTTAGAGTACTTGCGTTTTCTGTAAAAAAATATTCAAATTAGAGTGCATGTTTTGTGTTCATTTACTCTTTGAACTACTTTGAAGAATAGGAACCGGAAATAAAAACATATTTGACAATTGACATGAGAATTGATTTTGATTTGATGTTGATTTGATATGTTGTGCGTATTTAAAAATTTAAATTACTACTTTGCTTTCAAAGAAAATGAAAATGTTTACTTCGCTTTAGTATTTTTCCAGAGCTAGTAAAATTTACTTAACTGATCATTACGATGGACTTTTACCTGCGTTACATTGATATTACAACAAATTATTACTTTCTCATAGGTGGCTTTTTCTTAAGTTATTTGATTTATAAAATAGTTTTTTCATTCGTAAGTGGTAATAATTTTATGCAAACAATATATAGCCGAGGCCGGTATGGGCATACTTGGAGAAGTATTGAATGTAACAAATCTTTGCCGTATAATATTTACGTAAGTTTAAATTAATTATTTCTTGCCTGATTAATATTTTTATGGAACGCACATTAAAAATTTTTTTTTCTAATTTCAGTGTAGTGTTTGCAGTGAACTAATGTTGCCTGTGGTTGGACTTTTTTGTGAGTGCTGCGCATTAAGTGCATGCAAAAAATGTAATAGGATTTTGGATAAAAAGTTTAGATGCAAGCAAATATCATGGCCAAGTGACAAACCATTTTATCATCATTGGGTTGATAGTAAGTTAAAGATCGTAAATTCTGAATCAAAATAATAACAGGCCATCACTTACATTTATTTAACAAAATAGGATCAATATCTTTTTAAGCTTTGTGTTAATTATAACAAATTTTATGTTTTAAACTTGCAATTTCATAAACATTCCAATTTTTGTAGTTGGCACAACAACTGGAAAAGATGAAGGCCAGAATGAGAGTTTAAAAAAGTTATTTTGCTCCTGGTGTCAAAGAACTAAAATTATTAAAGACAATTTGCTTAATGATACTGAGGTAAGTAAATAAAATGTGTCTCTAACATTAATCATGAGAACATCAGTTGGGAAAAACATAGCGCTATTATCTATGGGTATAGGAAGCATCGGACAGCATAATATTTTACATTGTATAAAACATCCTTAAAAAGTATTACTTCTTGACTTTTTTTTTAATTTCAGCAATGTGACTTTAGCAAGTACAGGAAATTAATAATTCCTCCGGCTTGTGTTCAACTGCATAGAGGAACTATAAGCAATATTAAACCACCTCCCGATGATGACTGGGAACCTCTCATTGTACTAGGTATTTAATGATTTATATTTTACCTTTATTAGTGTTTTAATAAGTGATAGGCAAGAGATAGCATAAATACTAAAAAATTCAATAGATTATATCATCAGTGATTTTTTTTATATAAAAGAGGAAATATTTTCTTTTAGCGAACCGAAAATCTGGAAGTAGTAGAAGTGATGAAGTAATATCAATATTCCGTGGTCTCCTTAATCCAATACAGGTTTGTATATATTTGGTACAATATAGGTCGGAAATAATTACAATTTTAAATTTAATTCAGAGCTACAATCAAAACAATAGTATTGTATTTGATTAGAATAACTTATTGAGGCCTAAAAAGTAAATTTTATGCATAGTTGTTAGTTTTTCTATTTAGTGATGAAAGTTCTTTATTTATATACTAGCTCTCGCCCGCGACTCCGTCCGCGTGAAATTATTATAATAAAAAAACAAAGTAGCCTATGTGTTTTTCCAGACTATTCAGGAGTTTAGGCTACAAACTTTAACAAACATCCATCCATCCATTTAAACTTTCGCATTTATTATATTGGTATGATTAGTAAATCTGTTCCGAAAACAATAAATTTATGTAAATATAGAAATAATTTCTAGAATTGTTACAAAGGAGTTATAAAAAACTGACTTAGGTTTATTTGTTTCAGGTTGTGGATATAAGTTCAATTTCTCCAGAAAAAGTCATAAAATGGCTGCCAAACAGATGTCGTTTGTTGATCGCTGGTGGCGACGGTACAGTGGCCTGGGTACTCAATGCCTTAAAACCTGCTACTCATATCAGTGTGAGTATTTCAAGAGTTTGGAAACACTTACTTGACCAACTCCTAATAGACCAATTACTATTTGACTATCCAACCTTTGGACCAACTATATGACCAACTTTGACTCAACTAAACGAAGTCCTCTTTGACGAACTTCTACTCAACCTCAGGACCAAGTCTTCTTAATCAACTGAAAATCTACAATACACTGTTTTCATTACCTCAATATAAATTCCCAATTTTTTCATCATTCCATCACGATGTTTTCCTTCATTGAATAATGTACAGTCGCGGAAACCCGCGGTGTGCCACTGAAGGAAAAAGTGTCTGTTCATTCCAACGAGACAAGGATAACTAATTACATAGCAGTGAGTAGCAAACGAAGGTTTGTTATATAAAAAGAAATTAGCCGTGTATCATTAACCGACTTTTTTTTCTTAGACTCATTAATTGCGTTGTATTGATTTTTGTTCCGCGTTTCGTTTCAAAATGTCCAAACGATTGAACACAACACCACCTGTTTATCCGACTGTACATATGAAATTCGTAAATGAAACATCGGGATTTGATCACAGGACTTGCAAATTACATTTTAAGAGAGAACAGAGATGAACTGACGGTCTTGGTTTACGCAGGCGTCAGTGGGTATTCTCCCGATGGGCACTGGCAATGATCTATCGCGAGTGCTGGGCTGGGGCGCCGGCTGCGACAC